TAATCCAGAGCCAGAAATCTGCCAAATGCTGCACCCCTGTGAGGACCTGAAAGGGGACTCAAGAGTCAAACACTTCCAACACTGTTAGGCGTTGTCAAGGCAACGGCAGCTCCAGCCTCCCCAGGGCAGTCTTCCCAGCCATCTTCCCAGGCACTCACTTGCCCCCAGTGCTTTTCGTTTCAAGCTACTTTTTGAATTCTTTTAAAATAAAAAACATTAGCCCTGGCTGATGGAAGTGTGGCTCAGGGCATGGAGTGCCAGCCTGTGAACCAAAGGGTTACTGGTTCGATTCCCAGTCGGGGCGCATGCCTGGGTTGCAGGCCAGGTCCCCAGGAGGGGGCGTGTGAGAGGCAACCACACACTGATGTTTCTCTCCCTCTCTTTCCCCCCTTCCCCTTTCTAAAAATAAGTAAAATCTTTAAAAATAAAATAAAAAACATTAAAAACATACACCTGTATTTTGCCATGTATAATGTGGTCCCCCATAATGCACACCCACATTTCTGGCCCAAATTTCCAAGGAAAAAAAATCTTTCATTTTAATTTTTTATTTCAAGTTTCTGTTTATTTATATTTAGATACTTGTTTTTATATTATAAAGGAATTTTAGCATTTATTTTTTAATATATTATGGCACAGGAAATTTTATGTAACAGCCCTGGCTGGTGTAGCTCAGTGGATTGGGTACCAGCCTGCAAACCAAAGGGTCGCCAGTTCGATTTCCAGTCAGTTCGATTCGCCAGTCAGGGCACCTGCCTGGGTTGTGCCCCAGGTCCCCAGTAGGGGGCACTCGAGAGGAACTAGACATTGATGTTTCCTTCCCTTCCCCTCTTTCTAAAAATAAATAAAATCTTCCCAAAAAATTATGTAACAAATAATTACAAAACAGAAGAACAGATACAAGGTAGAAGAAATTTTAATTAGCACTACCCATACACATCCTTATTTTTCCCTCAAAAATTTGGGCAAAAAGTGTGCATTATACACAGCAAAATACAGTATTTCTGCTGTCCTGGGGCCTTGTTATTTGTTGTAGTTTAATCCTTCATTGTCAAACACCTAGGCCTCTGTAAATAAAATGCCAAGGTAGTAAGGGCTTTGAGAGGGAAGAGACTTCAGACTCCCTACTTTGAAGGCAGCTGAGGCATCACTGTCCTGTGTACAAAGTTTCTTGTATCTTATACCTTCTTCAGTAAACGTCTCTATTTCTTGTAGTGCGTGGCTGGATACCTTCCAGACAGACCACATATACTGTTTGGGTCTTGCCACAAAATAATGCAGAGCGGAGCGTGCAGATGAAAACTGGCCACGGGATAGCAACTGCTGCAGCCAGGCGGTGAGTGTGTGGGGGCGCCCTCTGCTAGTCTCACTTTTTTAAGTATGAGTTGGAAATCTTTTCAAAATAAAAAAATCATTTAAAAAGAAAAAGGCGAGAAAGAAGACAGTGAGAAACAGAGAGAAAGGAAAGCGGGTGAGTCGGCAAAAGGATGAAAGAGAACGGGAAATGGGAAGAAGACGCTGGAAGTGGGGAGGATGCAAAGAAAGCAGGAGAATCAGAAGCAAAGAGATCAGTGCAGACGGTGGGGGGGGCTATCAACCCCTCAGCAGCCCCTGCCTCATGCAGGCTCTGCCGCCCCGATGGCAAAACCTGGAAGAGCTCAGGTCCCCAAAGCCTGTCCCAGTGAGAGTTCTGAGAGCAGCGTCCTGGGAGAACCACACCTGACCCTCCCAGCCCCGCCGTGCCAGTGGGCGAGAGTGTGCAGGGTCGAGAGAGCTGGTTTCAGTGCACAGCCAGCCATCTAGGCTGTGTTTCCCTGGCCCTGGCATGGGCAAGGTCGTCAGTGTTGTTACTGAGCACCAACATGTACAGAAGACCAAACGTGAAAACACGAGAAGGAAATCAGGCACGGGAATTTAGAATCCAATAAAAAGAAGTACAGATAAAAACTCATAAGAGCTCCACCATAAAGAAACTCAGCAAATGGTCAGCTCTTGGCTCGTGCCAGCAAGGGAGCGGGAGAGGAGCTGAGTGAATGCAAACACCACGTGTGCCCAACGCTGGGCCGTGTTCGGTCTGTGCCGACTCCACACTGGAGAGTGTGTGTGTCCGAGTGTCACTCAGCAAGCACCGCAAACCACTCGGAAAGCCTCCTTCGGGCAGATTCCAGGCACTACGTCCAATCCTGTCTGGTTGGACTTTCTTTCTCTTCGTATACTTGTCTGATTTCTGAAGAGGACTCCTAGGGACTGCTCCCAAAACAACCACCCAGATGATTGTGGATAAAAATTAGCGCCAAAGTCTACTGCAATCAAGAACACGGCCAAGGCCTGGCCCGGAAGCAGCTCGGGCCCCAGAGCACTGGTGAGAGCAGAGGTCCCAGGCAGAGACGTACCTGCCTCGGGGCACCACACCTGCCCAGGGGGAAGCTCACTGTGTCATTTGTCACATGGAACTAACTCATCGGGCCCTTCCCCAGGACCAGTTCAGATCACCAAGGCCATAGGCTGAACCCATGAGAGTCACGGGCAGCCCGTACCTTGTCCTCAGCAAGGCTGCCGATTACCGCACAGGGCGAGGCTGCACAAAGAAACAGCTCTCTCACCGCACAGTGTGGGGTTTGATTCCCTTCGTGCTCTTCCCTCCGTCAACCTTCCGCTTTCAAACCTGGTTTTCGGCTTCTTACTTTCCATCTCCTCAAAGCGGTATAAACCGTCTGGGGAGCGACATCTGACAAAGCGCAGCAGCACTGTCTGGGCTAAAAGCCGTTCCGTGACCACTCTGGCTCCCCAGAAACACATTCATCCCAGAAATGTTTTAAACCAGAGAATGAAGCCTTTCTGAAAGGTAAGAGCAGCTCCGGAGGGCCGGGCCATTCCTCCAGGGAGCCGCCCCCAGGGAAAGGCGGGGAGAATGGGCCGGGGCCTGGGCTGTGGAGCCGGCTCTCTCCGCCCGGGGGACGGAGGTGACATTTCTGAGCCACCTTTCTCTCTTCTAATATTCTGCTACTTGTCAGCTAGCCATCTGCTGAACGATCACGTTTTGATGAGACGTTAAGAATGCCACCTTGTGAAGGGCACAGATTCGCCTGGTCCACTCACTATCTATTCCTCCACCTCCCTCACCGTGCTGCTCCACAGGCCCCCACAGACCGTGTGGGTTTCCTCGAAAAGCACCCGTGCACTCCCGGGCGCAAAGGCATCAAGAACACACTGTCTACACTGGTTTCCATCACTCGTGCTAACATCACCCTCAGGACAGAAGGGTGGGGGGCCAGGGTGCTGGGGACCACACTCGGTGCCATCAACGTGCCAGAAACGTCACAGGCTTTTGGCAGACAGGACCAGATAGAAGAAAGCCACCGTGAGCCAAAGAGCATCTCCCCCTTCTAAGAATAGGTTGGGTTCTTAAGAAAAAGGGCTCCAAGGGGCAAGGTCCAGAGGGGAGGGGAGGCTCTGGGGCAAACGGAGATCCCACAAACCGGAGAGCCCGCAAGCCAGACACCTCGGCTGTGGTGGCTCAGCAGCACTCCAAGCAGTCACAGTCGGGCGTGTCTGTGATGCCACTGTGCACATCTGGGTAAAGATCAGACCGAAGGGAGCGATGCACCAGGAGCGGTGGATTCCCCAGCCCCAGACAGAACTAAACGATGCGGAGACAGCAGAGCTGCACTCCACTCCCCCGGCTGATGAATCTCTGCACTGTGCACTGATAAAATGATACAGTCCGCTCAGGAAACCAGCAGGGAAATCCACGTGGTGTCTGCGAAGAGATTCCAAAACAAACAAGGAGAGCACAGCATTCTGAACTCATGGAAAAGATTTCTTAAAGGGAGAAAAGCAATTTTCAAGAGCATCTTCTTGTATTCTCAAGAAAATTCCCGAACATATAGGGTCTGTGAAGATCAGATAGCAAAGCAAGAAGGAAAAAAAAATAGTATCTGACCAAGAGTCTTGAAAAAGAAAACGGGAACTGAATGAGATAAGGAAAAATAACAAATCTCAAAATATAGCAGCAAAATTAATATTAGCTAGAAACCATCCAAGCAACATTGATTCTATAGAAATGGAGTCAGGGATGTGGAAGGCAAATACGGTAAGTTCTTCCCAAGAAAGACCAAAATCGTGAGACAACCATGAAAACGAAGGATGCTGAGCAGCGCAACCCCCCACGGGCAGGGCTCCTGAGAGAGAGAGCCCGTCTCTGCCCCAGGGAAGCCCCCCTATGGCAGGTCAAGAGTGGTCCCCGAGTGCCGGGTGAAACTGGAGTGGAAGGACCCCCACCAAGGAGCTACTGGTGACAGAATCAGGGTGGGCTCTTAAAGCCTCAATTCCAAACCTGGCACAAAAGGGAAATAAATGGCCAGTCAACTCAACGCCTAAGGGTCAATAGTTATCCACCTCCACGTAAATGCCCACAGTCTTTTTAAGCTATTGCTGAGAAGGGCGGAAGCGCCTGTGCAAAGAGTTTGATTTAAGCTTTATTTTTATAGAGACTGTAACATAACATTAAAGGAGCAGGTGCCTGGCATGAAGTTATGTTAAACAATGGTTATTTTGACCATGAGAGTCATTAATCATACAATTAGAGCTAGTTGTATGAATAGAGCTTTTGATGTCCTGCTTTTCTTATCTAATTCTATTCCTGTCCAGGTACAGGAGGGGCTGTTACTCTAACAACTTTTAGATATTCAGGGGCTACCTCATTAGGGGGGACTCTTGTGTGAGTTGGGTCAAACCCACAGAGGCTGGCTGTTCTCTGGCATCCAACCAGGTGTCTGACTCTTCATTCGTCGCCTGCGCCGTCCATCCTTCGGGGACTCTGAACCCTACCGAGGCTGGACCCTGGGGGATACTTTTTCACTCGTGGAGACCTGCTTTCTGCCTCCCTCCCTTCCCTCCCCCCAGCCCTAAGAGGAGGCCCGGGAAGAGAATGTCACCGTCCCCATGCATTCAGGACCTTCGTTACAATACAGACCTGCGGCGAAGGAGGGTCGACTCACCCTGTCCCAGCTGAAACACAGGCCCAGCCGATCCAGCTGCTTCCTCATGTGTTTGATGTTGCTGTGAAACAGAGGAAAGAAGGTCAGGTTTTTAGAGGAGGGGAAGCCATAAACCAACTAAGCTTCGAAAATGTGAAGGGTAACTGAGAAAAGTCTACATTATTCCAAAGGGCTTTAAGTGTTGTTTTGCCCTGGACCAAAAAAAAAAAAAAAAACCCACTAAGAATCAGTTAAAATGTCAGCATATTAGAAGACACCCACTTCTTGAAATCAGACAGAATCTAATAAGAACCACAACGGTCTTGGCCCTGGAATGGGCCCTTCCTTTGGCCATTCAGACAGGCAGCTCCTGTGGAATAATCACTCCTGGCCCATCCATAGGTATGTCTGTATTCTGCACAGGCATCAGCCAAACATTTGCAAGTATAAAATCCACTGAGGAGAAAAGGAAAACCTTAACATATAAGCCGTGGCGATCCTAAGGCAATCTGGTTTAGTGCTTTGTTAATCGAAACCCGAATCATCGGGAGAGAGGGAGAGAAGCCAATTAATTGGCCTTAATATAAAATAAGGAAACATCACTTTTTATTTTTTTAGAGAAAAAGGACTAATTCCCTGCTCCTGCCTCCTCTTTCAGTTCAAGCAGCCCGAACATCGGAAAAGCCGTGAGAAAACTCTAGGCCATCTCTGATTAGCCAACAGCAGCTTATTTTATTCCAGGACTCGAGCTAAGCATTTTTGCAGAAAAGTGCTTTCTACAGACCAAATGTGGCTCCCACAATTGATACATTGAAACCTAACCCCCAGCCTGCTGGTATTAGGAGGTGAGGTCTTTGGGAGGTGATCAGGTCGTGAGCCCTCGTGAATGGGGTTTTGTGTCCTTATAAAAGGGACCCCAGAGAGCTCCCTTGCCCCTTCCACCATGTGAGGATGCAGAGAAGACAGCCATTGCACCCTGGAAGAGAGTCTAACTGGACACCTTGGCCTTAGACTTCCCAACCTCTGGACCTAAGAAATAAATGTGTTGTTTCGAAGCCACCCAGGCTGATACTGTTGTGACGGCAGCTAAGGCGGACCTTCATCTTTACCATTCCTACGAGGTAGGAGCTATGACCACCCTTCCTTTAGAGATACATAAACTGAGGCACAGAGACATTAAGTAATTTGTTCAAGGTGATTTGCCAGCAAGAAGGCAAGGCATGCTCTGCACTGAGGTGGCTGATTCAGGGCCATCTTCCTCACTGCTGTTCGGCAGTGGGGTCTGGCAGCCCCTCCCTGTAAAAGGCTAGACAAGGATATTCTCATCTTTGTGAGCCATACAGCCCTTCACAACTACTCCCCTCTGCCACTGCATCGTGACAGCAGCCATGGACAAAGTGTCAACAAGTGGGTGTGACTGTGTTCCAATAAAACTTTATTTACAAGCCAGGCAACCCTTGGTCTAACTCACATCAAATGTATGCCCTGTCTGATCCATTTTATTTGATCATCATTTGATCACTGCTCCAGGGAAGCAGATGGTGTAGTGAATGTTTTCACAGTGCAGCCTCGGTCAAGACAAAGCAAAGGAAGGTGAAGACCGTGGGGAGGGGCCGCAGAATGGCACCTCCACACCTCAGGGTAGCGGGGAGCCCCAGACCTTTGTGAAAGAAGCTGATGGGGGCGGGCCCAGAACATTCTGCTGGGTTCTGGTATAAGGCCCTCCAGCCGTGATCTGGAGGGAGAGGAGTGGACAGAAAGCCTGAGGTATGGGAGGGACTGGGAGTGGGTCCCTTGGGAGAAAGCCACGCCCAGAATCAAATGACCATCTAGTTCTATGTTGAATGACTAAGTTCCTCTTGCTTCAAAGTGGTGAAAGAAAGAACAGAATTTTCAGAGAAAATGATACTGTGGAATTTGGATATAGCTCAAACGATAGTCACGGAGATGAGAAGCATGGTAGAAATTTATCGACTGCAACCCTCTCCTCCTCTTCCTTCCAAATGCACATACTCGACGGAAGAATAACTTGGTAAATGACGGAGCATCAGAACAGACACATGAATGCCCGACCACCCAAAGCCCCCTTCGTGCTTCTTAGCCAAGAACCGAGAGCGGAGAGAGACAAGCACTGGTGGATGCAACCCCGTTCCTCACTTGGCAGAGCCGCAACGTTGGCTCTCCTCTGCTTCCTGTGTCTCCTGCACAGATGTACAAAACCGAGGTTTCTGCACGCAGGTGTTTGAATATGTCTGTAACACATACCTTCGCGTCCAGCTTTCTGGATGCAACTTCCTCTCGATGGCGGCGTTTTCGGCAGGCAGTCCAAACGCGTCCCATCCCATGGGGTTGATGACCTTCACCGGGAGAGAAACATCAGTCAAGGTAGAGTGCAGGGACCGGTGTGGGCTTTCTCTTGTGGGCGGCACACAGGCGTTCTCTCCTACCAACATGCCTTATCTCCTTCTGGGAGGGGGTTACCTACAACAAGCCTCTGCAGCAGCTGGTGCCAGGCACTGGAAGTTCTTAACGAAATCAAACAGACCGCGAGGCTCAAGGGCTGGCCAGCTACCTGGCCTCCTTGTCTGTATAAGGGGCCCAGGGTCCTCCTTTCCCACATGTTAATGGCACACATTAGGTGCTTTGCTGGAAAGCAGCCTGGCTGTTCTTGCCACAGCCGCCTGGACCAGGCACAGCCCTTGATGGGATGGCAGCCATCTGTGTGCTGAGCAGGAAGGGGCTCGTCTCCAACTGCCCTGGACAAAGGCACTGCCGGGCAGATCTGGCCACCCTGGGGTTGCTGGTGGGGCGGACCCACCCAGATCTACTTTCTGGAAGCGATACACACAGGCTCGGTGAACAGAAAATGCTGCTGCAGCTCCTGGGATGCTGGTCTGCCAGGTCCGGTGCTTCCTGGTCTGGGGAACCTGGGTGGCCAGGCAAGCTCTGGGTCTGCAGCCTGACATGACATGACTCCCCCGCTATGTCCCTTCCGTCCCCGTACCCACCCCTATCCTGAGGTCAGTCTATAGACAGGCTTCTCCTTTTTTATCTGTTGGATGTTTCTCCACTTACAAACATAATACAAGCTTATTTCAACAAGGAAACAACACAACACCTGATCCACAAAGGCGAAGCCACACCGCTCCTCCTGGCCGCCAGCCCCGTTCTCACGCCCTTGATGTAACAGCAGCAGCCCCTGCATCCCGGTTCGAACGCAGATGTACAAGCGCATGCGCACACCCCCCCCCCGCCTGCAGGCTTATTTTTATGGAAACAAAACCTATGATATGCCATTTTATGAGCTTTTCTTTTCACTTAACAAATCATAGACACCTGTACAAAATATGTATACATGCATGTCCATATATGTGTCGTTTTAAAAAATTCTAACATTACTTGGTTGCATCTGTGGCATGCAGTTTTAGGAACCTGACTAGACACAACCCAATTCGGCTGATCCTTTGGGCCGGAGGTCTCTTTCCCCCTGCTCAGTACGGCTGGGCCAAAGCATTCTGTCCCTCCACACTGAATCCTCCCCTCCTGGGAAACTGCTCCTCTTCCAACTTCATACATTGGAAGGACCGTCTGTTGCAAAACCCATTCCTCTGGCTACAGACGGAGGCCTGTGCCGGGATCCCTCTCCAAGCTTGCCTGCTGTCTGGGGTGGAGTTTGTGTGACAGAGACCAGGATGACAAGGGCACACCCCTTTCCTTTCCCTCCTCCATCGGGACAAACAAGGACAGCAGAAGAGGGCTCCAGGTGGCCCTGCCTTCCTCCTGGTGCAGATGTCTGAGAAAACAAAGCGACAGGTGGACAGAGGTGGACGAGACCGACGGGCTGTGAGGACCTGGCCCCCAAGCCAATGGGGCCTGTAGCATCTCCTTTGACTCTGCAAGTTACACCCAGATCTGGAGAACAATGAAACCTCCCATTCTGCTTAAGCTGGTCTGGGCTGGGTTTCAGTCCCAAGCGGCTAAGAACCCCAACTCAAACAGACGCCCTCTAGGATACAGCTTTCTCCTGAGTACTGTTTAATCCAGAGATGACAAGCATTCCTACTAAGTGTTACAGTTTTTCCTCTTTTCTTTTTAATTATCATGAGCTAAAAAAAGAAATCCCATGTAGGGGCTACAGGCTGGATTACTAGAAAGTTCTTCAATACTTCCACGGACAGCGCAGCTCCCAGATGCGCTTTAATCCCCCTGGGGCCTGCAGAACAAGGGAACTGCTGCGTGACCCTGAGAAAGGGGGGACCCTAATCACCACTCGGTTTCTTCGCCAGAACCTGCCAAATGGCACGAGGTCACAGTTTCTACCTATTAATGTTCTGTAGGTGCTGTCCGTATTTCTAATGCCGTCAACACAGAAAACAGTCACAAAAACCCTGTCTGGATTTTTATGTAATAAACCCATTCGTTTCTATTTTTGTTGTCAGAGGAAATTTACATAGAAAGAGATGCTGGCTCACAGGTTACCCGAGCTGTCTATAAAGTCGGAGCCCTGGCAGGTGGATCAGTTGGTTGGGGGTTCGATTCCCAGTCAGGGAGCATCAGGAGGCAACCGATCAATGCTTCTCTCAAATCAATTTTTCTTTTTCTCCCGCCATCGCTCCCCTCCACTTCCCCCGCCCCTTCCTCGCTCCCTAAAATCAATAAACATATCCTCTGGTGAAGATTAAATAAATAAAAAGTCAGAAGAATCTTAAAGCATCTCAATATTAAGCTCATATTCCCACCAAAAAATTAACAAAAAACCCAAATGTCTGTCCTAGAACACAGGGTGCGAGAAGGCCCTTTCGCTTCTTGAAGTCAGCAGAGTTCCTGCCACCGTGGTCCACATTCGTGTGGCCCAGGAGAGGACCCCACGAGTCCCATTGCCAGGGCTTCCCAGCTGCAGCAGCCAGGGTGGACCGCGGTCCGGGCCGTTCGGAGTCGGCTCCCGGCTGTCCGGGACGTGCGAGTGAGGACCGGCGGCAGGGCTGCGGGCGACCGCGGTGCGTCCCTCGCGCCCGGCAGCACGTTCCGCTTGCTGGTCCGACGGCTGCAGCTCAGTGACGTGAAAGACACGGTGTCAGGTGCTCCCTTGGCCGGTCTCCTCCTCGTCTCGGTCTCACGCGGCGTCTGGTCCGTGACTTCTCTGTGGCCAAGCCTATCAAACGCATTCACTGCAACAACTCGGATCTCTGCTTTTTAGCTCCGAAATCCCCATTTCTTACCTCCTGTCACTGTGACGCGGTTTAATCCTTTCATTGCTCCACAAGAAACATGTGCCAATAAGGTGATTTATTCTAAAGCAAAAATCAAAAACTCCCCGGCACCTGGATTTATATGCCAGGTCAGGCCACCTGAGCCCTCTCACTTCCCCAGGACTTAACCTCTTCTTAGATGTGAGTGCTTTTTGCAGAATGAAATGATGAGAAAGTCCTGGTGGCTGCAAGCTGCAAATCTATGAAACAAACTTCCAGAGTGTGAAGTCATCATTTCCAGTGCTGCTTCTAACACATATTCTGTCTTTAAAGAGTGAGAAGCCAAGCGGACAGCAAAACAACCCTGGACTTCACCAGAGCAGGACACTGCCCCCACCACTGGACAGGAGACTCGGAGGGAGGGAGCAGAGCTGACGGGGGCTCAAAGGCTGAAATCGGCAGGCCCGCCCAGATGGGGCTGGGTGAGGAAGGGAACCCTAACCAGGCCGGAGAGAAATGCCCTGGCTTCGCCTTGCCTCTTGCCTGCAACTCTGCCAGAACCTGTATCAGCCAAAACCAGCCAGAGGCCAGTGACACCAGAGCTTGGGAAACGTGGCCTGCAGGGGTCTGACCCTCTGCCACTCACAGCAAAGCAGGGTCTGACAGCAAGCTGGCCAAGGCCCAGCCCAGGAACACCAGCAGGACTGCAACCTACCGGGGTTCTTGACATCAGAGAGGAGTCAGGACCACTACTGACCAGGGGCAAACCCAGGGATCGGGGCCCGGAGATCAGACTGGAGCGGGCCAGGAGCCAAGGCCTGGGAGCTGGGTCTGGGCCGGCCTGCCATGCAGACACAGCCACCTGACCGTGGCAGAGCCGCAGGCCTCTCAAGGTCATCTGGCAGGATGGACAGCAGCAGGCTAGGAGAAGGGACCCAGGAGAGGGCACAGCTACCTGTGACGACATACGGACAATGCTCCGCAGGGGTAAACACCAGAACGTGTCCGGGACGACCACCCTGCAGGGCCTGGTGAGCCCGGGGTGGTCCAAGGGGGCTGCCGCCTTTCAAAGGCTTATATATATATATTCTAAAGGGGGAATATGAAATTTTATGTTCAACTTTAAAACCCTTTTCTTTCAGAAGGAGGAAAAATAAAAGAACAAGCGAAGGTACAGTTCTTCCTCCCACCCAGGAAGTTAGACGGAGCGAGTAGAGTTAAGAAGATTCTGGAGAGAGGCCAGGCAGCTGCTCGGCTGCCTTCTCCGTGGAAAGGGGCCCACGATGCCGCTGGAGAGCCCACCAATTTCTCTCTCAGCCAGGCACCAACTTTACATCTGAAACCAATTCAGCTTCTAATTGACGGCAACCATGGTTACTGCTTCTCAAAAAACCCACTCTTTTCAGAGAAGGCCACGGCTTTTCTGGAGTAGATTACACACTTTATTTCCAAGAAATGAGAAACACGACGTTTAATTATGTTTAGCAACTGTACTAACCCACCGTGACTACAGGTCGGGAATCAAAGGCAAGGGACCACTTCAGGGTGAAAAAAGTCCTGGCGACAGCACCCAGGCCCGAGCAGGAGCCCCCTGTAGGGACGTGGAGGGACGTGACAGGCAGAGACATCAGCCACCTTCCAATTCCTTCTCTTCCTCAAATTATGTGGAGACGGTAAGTTCCAGAAACGCACTTTCTCCTTCGAGACGCTGCATGGATTTGGAAATTGGCGAGCTCAGCGCCATGCTACGCACTCCGGGCTCTTCACAAACGCTTGCTGGTGGACAAACTAGAAACTGAACCATATGTGATGACGGTTCACTGGCTAAGAAGTCCCCTCCCTTCCTGATACTCACAGGTGATGACATTATGATCACGCAGTGGCCAGACACACAGCCTCCACGTTCTTCCTCCTCCACAGGGAACGGCAAAGAGGCCCAAGCAGCTCTATGGGCAGGTGCCCAGAGGCTTTTTGGCCAAGGCATGTGAGCCTGAGTCTGTGAGGGGGACTTGGCAGGTGCGTGCCGTAATCCCCCCGCTTCTGGCCCAGAAGGTGCTGGGGAGACCAGCCGAGGTGGGAGGTGGGTAATTTTATTTTCCAACCATCTGTGCATACAACAGATGAAAACACAATGAAATCACCATATGGTGCTACGCTCTAACCGTGTCAGCAGACGCTGTGTGAGTGTGTGAGAGACCGGCCGGCAGCGCGGCCTCTCCAGAGTCCTGAGAGGGCACTGCTTACCCCGGGCTTCGAGCAGCCGCTGCTCCAACACCCCTACCCCGGCACTACCTCATTGTTGCTCCGCCAACTGGGCTGCACCGGGAAATCTCATTAGAGTTTTTCAAGGGTTTTCTCCTGGATCATCTCACATGAACCTTGCACCAAAGCTGTGAGGTGGGGGCGGGTAGGCCACTGCTGTTGACAAAAGCCCCTGATTCCTGATCCATCCATTCATCACCCCCAAACTGCCACCCTATCCACTCACAAAGCCCATGTGGAAACTACTTGTGTGTCTGGTCCGCTGCTGTGACTTCAGTTGTCCCCGAGAGAGCAGTGATGCTCGGGGCTTTCGGGTACCTCCCCACAAACTAGGACAGGAGCATGGAGACCTGCTCACACTCCTGTCTCGTTTCTCTCCTTCGCACAACTGACTCGCAGCTACAGGAGGAAACCAAAGCGAAAGCACACCTGAACCTTCCAAGTCATCGCTCTCACCCACTCTCAGTCTTAAATGACAATCTGTGGTCTGGCCGGGCTCAGAAAACACGAGGGCAAACCACAGACTGGGAGAAGACATGTGCGTTGCTAACCAACAACGAACCAATAATCCGGACCATACAAAGAAGGCTTACAGAGCAACACACAAAAACACAAACCACCCAAGAGGAAGCTGGCAAATAACGTGAGCCAGCCCATCGGAGACGAGGAAACTTAAAGAGACGTGAAAATATCTCAGCGGCACTAGGACAGCACTCAGGAAAACGAAAATTAAAAACACAGTTAGATATCACTCCCTGTATACCAGATTAGCAAAGGTTTGATTCTGACATTAGTAAGTGACGTCAAAAACTCCAGGCAGTAAGAAGTGTCGATCATTGCCGGTGGGAGTATATGCATCAGCACCAACACACGGGGGGGCAGTATCACTGGGTGGCCCAGCGTGTCTGGGACACGATGTTCACGGGGGCAGTAATCGGAAACGACCCAAAATTCTGCTGGTGAGGAAAAGGACCAGCAACCACAGCCACGATTCTACAGCACTTAGACTGGCTGGACTAACTCTAGAAGCACAGGATACATCTTGAAACAAAATACTAAGTGGAAAAAATAAGGGAAATATTAAATAAGAGATCTCTGATATAAAATTAAAAACACACAGTACTACACAGAAGTGTATCTGTGTGTGTGTGTGTGTGTGTGTGTGTCCTTCAACAACACACAGAGTAAAAGCGAGGGAGGGGCAAGGCTGGGTGCACACTGACTGGGCACAGAGGTTACTCTGAATTGAAGGACTGAAACCCAACTGTGGAGAGGCACGAAAGTACCTGCAACATTAGAAAAAAAAGAGCAGAGGCGAACGTGAATAACCGGTAACATCTGTTACACCGGGTGGGCCAGTCCCGGTGTTCGGGTGACGTTCTCTGCACTTCTGTGTTGGAACTGTTTGTAGTCTTCAAGGACAGCCTATTCAAACCACGGAAGATAGATGAGACCACCTAGAGAAAGTGGGCGGAGGGAAAAAAGAAGGCAGTCCAGACCAGAATCTGAGGTGGGACAGCCCAGTTCACTGAGAAACACTAAAATTGACACAAAGAATCAGAAGACCTGAACTGCGCTAAACACATTACAGAAACAGAATCCATCATTTAAAAATTCCCCACAAAGAATGCTCCAGGCCGAGCTGCCGTCCCTGGTGAGTGCCATCAAACAATAAGGAAAGAAATGACATGCGACGCTCTCGGAAAACGGGGCACGTCCCGGCTCGTTCCATGAGGCCTGGGTAACCCAGACAGCAGACAGAGTCATCACAGAAAAGTACACGTCAGTATCGCTCATGCACACCTGGGTGTTAACAAATGGACACAGCAGGACACACGTTAGAAATACATCATGTTGCCCCGACCGGTGTGGCTCAGCGGACTGGGCATCATCCTACAAAGCGAAAGGTCATCGGTTTGATTCCTGGTCAGGGCACATGCCTGGGTTGCAGGTTTAGTCCCCAAGATGCAATGATCAATGTTTCTCTGTCACATCGATGTTTCTCTCTCTCTCTTGCTCCCTCCCTTCCCCTCTCTCTGAAAATAAATAAATATTTTCTTAAAAGATTTTATTTATTTATCTTTAGAGGGGAAGGGAAGGAGAAAGGGAGAGAAATATCAATGTGTGGTTGCTTCTCGTGCATCCCCTGCTGGGAACTGGCCTGCAACCCAGGCATGTGCCCTGACTGGGAATCAAACCGCGACCATTTGTAGCTCAATCCACTGAGCTACGCCAGCCAGGGCTAAATAAAATCTTTAAAAAAAAAATCACACGGCATGCTCCAGACTGGAGAGAATGGGGATTCACTTATTCAAGAGGTGAATGACCTCCCAGAGGAAATCAGATCAGTATGAGTCACAGTTACCACTGCTAAAGGGATTATTATGGGCTAGACACTGACTCATTTAACCTGCACAATAGCCCCCAAGGGAGGACTTGCTACTGTCCCTACTGCAAAGATGGGGAAGGGGGGTCCCGAGACAGTAAATGACTCTTGCAGGGATGCTCAGCTAGAAAGCAGTGGGATGGGGTTCAAACCCAGGCTGTCCACCTTCTGGAGCCAGCCTCTGTCACTGTAGGCGACTCCGTGTTTGTCTTTTCGGCCTCAGCTGCCCACAGGGGACCTGGGCCCCAGGGTCCTCTGGGCCTGGAGCTCTGCCTTGAACTTTCTCTGTAATCCCTCCTCCACCCAAGGGTATGAGAAGCCCATTTACACACACACCCCAAACCACCTATCTGCTAACGGGCTTCCCCTTCTTTACCATAAATGTACAGTTTTTCTGTAAAAGCTTAATCTTCGGCGATCTGCCTGCATTTGCAAATTGTCTAAAACAAGTTGGATGAGTAAAAAAAAAAAAAAAAAAGGAAAGAAAAATCTAGTTGAGGAATTACAGTTAGATCAAGAATTATATGTCGGGCAAAGAGCCAATTCGTTCCACAGCGCCTCTTTCTAATAAACACGGCAGAGAGGATGGAAAGCAATGTCTGGGGGAAATGACATCTGGCATAAACCAGGCAGACAAACACCTGAGGGCCGTCGTCACGCAGAACACAAATCTCTGCGTCTGAGAGTCTGAAGTCACTAACTCTTCCAGGGACAAAGAGGCACCAGAACCTGATTTCCTTTTTAGGAAGGCTTCTTGCTGCCAGTGTCATTTCAGCATAAATTTTCAAACCAAATGTGACAAGGATGCACTTGTCTTTCTAAAAAAGTGGCTTTACAGAGAACGAGGAGGTGGCAGATGTGGTTTGCACAGGCCCAGACTGGTTCACCCCAGCCGGCAGGAGAGCCCATTACTGTCTGACAACGAGCCCCCCCAGGGAAAGGCCCTGAGCCGCGGTGCTTGCTGGTTTCCTCGGTGCAGAAAGTCCCAACATGTTGGATTTCCAGCTGCTCAGGTGACTGAGAAACACAAAGTCAGGCACAGAGAAGCGCAGGGGGCTGCCGGGGGCCGGGCTGAGCAGACCCCAGCCCTGCGCCAGCTGTGCTGACACTGACTGCTGCTACCAGGTGCCACATCCATGCCAAGTGCCTCATAGTCATCCTCTCTGAATCCTTGTCACAGGCCAATGGGCAGGTGCTACTGGATCTCCGCTTTGCACAGGAGAGAAACGAGGTCTTAAAGAAGTTAAGGACCTTGTCAAAGGTCACCCTGGAAGTGTAAAGAGCGGGCACTCTAACCCTGGCCAGCTGGTTCAGCAGTCCAGACCCTCTTCCATCCTGCCTTTCTCTGAGTGAAGGAGGTCACTAATGAGTAAGGGGCAGCCCTGGCTAGTGTGGCTTAGCGGATTAAGTGCTGGCCTGCGCTGGATCGATTCCCAGTCAGAGGACATGCCGGGATTGCAGGCCAGGTCCCCAGTAGGGGGTGCACAAGGGGCAACTAGTCCATGTTCCTCTCACACATTGATGTTTCTCTCCCTCTCTTTTTCCCCTCCCCTCCTCCCTCTCTAAAACTAAATAAATCCTTTTTAAAAAGCAAATTTCACCTCACCCCCAGAGCTAGGTCAGGTGGCCCCTCTTTAGGGTCAAGCGAAGCCTTTCCCAACTCCCGCAGAGTTGTTACTCCCCAGATACTATCTCCTTACAAAACTTGTACTTATTCTATTATGAAGTAAATCTGCACTGATTAGACAATACAGAAAATATCAAATACAAAGAGAACCATTTCCCTGTGGCCCCACCTCCTGGTCACAGCCTTCCGTCCATGTTTATACTACAGGATCACCCTCTAAACAGCAATTCTCTGTTCATGTTCCACCCCCACCAGACTGGGAGCCCCTGGGAGTTCCCAGGTGCTACCACATAGTGGCTACCCCGCTCCACCCATCTTCACCCCCAGCACAACACCCAACACACAGCCGCCCCCCACCAATTAATTAATTAATCTAGATGCTTCACTATAATGTCTTCCAATTCACAAAAGGAAACACTGAGCTGTTCACATTTATCTTCAAAGCTAATCTCATCCCTTTTTTTTATTGCATTTTTTTCATTACCATTGAGACCCCTTGTACCCACTCATCTCATGTCGGCTGAAAGTGGTTTCTCCACGCGCCCTGGACACACGTCACGGCGTTCCTGTGGTCCCTCACCTGCATCCCTCGCATCCTCTGGAACCGTGCAATGGCGTCGCTGATGGTGTACACCCGCACGTGGCCCATGTGCAGCTTGCCGGAAGGGTAGGGGAACATGGAGAGCACGTAGAACTTGGGCTTTGACCTCTAGGAAAGAAGGGCAGAAAACGACAAGGAGCGTCTTTATTAAGCCTTTACTGGGGACCTGGCTGCACACAGCAGTGGGAGCTCGCCTGTAGGTAAACACAGTGAAAAGGGTCCTTCTGGAAAAACCGTTCCTGTACTATAAGTTGACAAAAATGTCAAAATCCAAAAGCAAGCCCTGGCTTGAGAAGACTTCCACCAAGATGGAGGCATAGGTTCGTGCATCGCAGGCGTGGGGTTGCAAAGGGCGGACCCAGTGAGAGACCCAGTGAGAGACTAGCAGGGCGGCAGGTTGACTGTGGTGGCATATTCCTGCGCAGACAGACCAGCGAAGGAGTGGGCAGTGAGAAGGGACTGAGCAGGCCCCAGCGGCAGGAGGCAGCAGAGAGGGCCGCCATTTCCCCGCTCTGACCCCGCCCCCACATACAGTGTCACAAACCAGTGACCCCGCCCTGGTGGCCCTGCCCTGCCCTGCCCCTAAGGCTCTGCTCCTCATACTTAACTGGGCAAACAGACCAAAAATGCCTCAAGAAGATCTCAAAGCCCCAGAGCCCATAACTCTAAGTGACAAAGAAATAGCAAAACTTTCAGATGCACAGTTCAAAACACTGGTCATCAGGATACTCACAGAACTGGTTGATTTCAGTCACAAATTAGAGGAACATATGAAGGCTAAGCTAACTGAAATGAAGGAAATTGCACAGGAAACCAATAGTGATGAAAAGGAAACTGGGACTCAAATCAAGGGAGTGAACCAAAAGGAAGGAAAAAATAACCAAACAGGAAAATATGAAGAAACAAGAATTCAAAAAAATGAGGAGAGACTTAGGAACCTCCAGGACATCTTTAGGAACCTCCAGGACATTCTGATGCTCCAACATCAGAATTATAGGGGTACCAGAAGGGGGAAAGGAACAGCCACCAGTGGAAAACTTATTTGAACAAATAATAAAGGAGAATTTCCCCAATCTGGCAAAGGCAATAGACTTCCAGGAAATCCAGGAAGCTCAGAGAGTACCAAAGAAGTTGGACCCAAGAAGAAACTCACCAAGGCACATCATAATTACATTAGCCAAGATTAAAAATAAGGAGAGAATCTTAAAAGCAGCAAGAGAAAAGAAGACAGTTATTTACAAAGGAGTTCCCATCAGACTGTCAGTGGATTTCTCAAAAGAGACCTTACAAGCAAGAAGGGGCTGGAAAGAAGTATTCCAAGTCATGAAACCCAAAGACCTACAACCAAGATTACTCGATCCAGCAAAACTTTCATTTAGAATGGAAGGACAAATAAAGTGCTTCTCAGATAAGATCAAATTCGAGGAGTTCATCATCACCAAGCCCTTATTATATGAAATGTTAAAGGGACTTATCTAAGAAAAAGAAGATAAAAAAGATGAACAGTGAAAGGACAGCAAACTCACAGTTATTAAGAACCACATCTAAAACAAAGCAAACTGAGAGGACAGCTAAATCAGGAGCGGAAACATAGAAATGAAGATCTCATGGAGGGTTAGCAACAGGGGAGTGGGAGGAGGAGAAGGGGGGAGAAGATACAGAAAATAGGAAGCATAGACGGTAGGTAGAAAATAGGGGGGAGGGCAAGAATAGTAGGGGAAATACAGAATCTAACGAACTTGAGACACATGGTCATAAACTAAAGGGGGGAATGGTGGGCATGGAGGGGTGCAGGGTGGAGGGGAATGAAAGGGGGGAATAGAACAACTGTAATGGCATAATCAATAAAATAAACATTTAAAAATTTTTAAAAAATAAAATTAAAAAAAAAACAAAATCAAAGCCCTGGCTTGAGCTAAAAGAATGTCCAAAATATGCGGTACGCCCTCAAAGTGCTAATTACTCATCTATATTTTTAATCTGCTTTTTTTCTCTTCTAAAAGCCTCTCTCTAAGACAGCTTCTATCTCGGTCTTGGAGAACTGGGTGTTTTTCCAAATGGAGCTATAGCATCCATGTAATTCACGGAAGTGACAGTGAGTCCCAGGTATGACGTACCCCAAAATGAGCCCCTTCAACGTCCCTGGAGCTGCATGCAGACAGACTCGGCTTTAGCAGTGGCACCAGTACCCTAAGGCACCAATTTGGGTCCCGGGTTCCTCCGCTGTGTTGTGAGCTTATCTCTGAACAGAAAGGGCCGAAATGGGAAGGGAAGGAGAAAATCTCGGGTGAGGAAAAGGGAGGCCTGTGGTCTCCCAGGGGTGCAGGCCAGGGTCGGCTAACGCTCCAGCTTCCAAAGACGCAGCCTCATGGTGAGAAACACAGGAAAGGGCATGTGCGCCCCTGGAGAGTGAATGCGGGGCAGGAAGTCCTGGTGGGAACGCTGCCTCAGGCACCTGGGGGGGGGGGGGCTGTCAGTAAAGGGCAGAGTGCTGGCGCAAGGTCGTGTGCACAGGCAGAGGGGGCTCCAGTGGAAGGTGGTGGTCATTTAACAGGTCCCCCCGTGGGCACCTGCGTCCAAGGGCAAGGGCTGTGTTTAATCATCTCTTTCCCTCACTCCTGTCCACCTGCCCCTCGAAGTTTAATAACTACTGGATAAATGTTTGCGGACTTGGTGCTTCAAAAGCCCAATAACTGGCTTCTGTAGGCAGGTCATTTATTCTGTTAAAACTGTTCCCGTAATGAAAACTGGGCATTTTCCCCAGCAAAGCCCACAGATCCTGCCCAGGGGGTAGGACCGCCCCCTGCCCGTGGGGAGGAAGAAAGCAGTCCTCTGAAGAAAAATGGGTGGCTGCTTCTGCCTCCTCACTAAGGGACCTCGGGCGTGGGCTCTCTCGGCTGTTTCTGCCTTCCGCTCCTCCCTTTTGGTCCTCACTCCCTTCCTGGAGCTCTCCTGGGGTTCTCCCAGGCCACGCCTCCCCCAGACAAATAAAAACAAATGCAAAATTGGATATTCATGACCATTGCTTTGTGTCCGTGTTGGGGGGATGTTGTGTTTTTTGCTAATATGTGTGTGACTGGTACTGGCACGGCCAACGGCAACTGGGAGACCAGACGAAACAAGAAACTAGGAAAAAAAACAGAAATCTCATCTGAGCCCTTGCTTTCAACTTCCGTTAGCAAAGAAGTCAAATATTCTTTTTCTTAAAGATTTTACTTTTTTATTTATTTATTTTAAAAGAGAGGGTAAGAGACGGAGAGAAACATCAATGTGTGTTTGCCTCTCATGCACCCCCTGCTGCGGATCTGGCCTGCAGCCCAGGCATGTGCCCTGACTGGGATCAAACCTGCAACCCTTTGTGGTTCATAGGCCGACGCTCAATCCACTCAGCCACACCAGCCAGGGCAGAAGTCAAACTTTTAACAGAGCCACTAACCTGTGACAGAACAGACTAGAGTGGAATGTCCCCTAGAAATGGCCACTGAGTGGTCACGTCAGGCTGCCTGAAGGAGGGGAAGGGGACAGGGGGTTGATGTGGAGTCTGGAACTGGCCTGCACAGCCCAGAAAAGCGGCCGGAAGCGCTGCAGGTTTATATAATAGGAGGCACCGAGGCACAGGTATCTCCCTCTTTCACCAGAACCTGCGGGTGTGAAACTGTCAGGAAGACCTCAGGGGAGTGGGAGCGACCTGAGACTCTAGAGTCAGTGGGGACTCAGGAACTACCGTCTTTAAGAAGACAAGTAATGCTCGGCTTGCGAACAAGTCTCTCAAAGGAGGTATGCGATCTTGGTCCTTTAGTTGGTGCAGAATCGGAAATAAGCAAACTACGCACCCCACTCATTTTCGGGGACTGGGGAAAAGCTGTTCCAGAGTTCTTTGGGACCCGGGAGCGGGGGTCGGAGAAAAGTCCCTGATATAAAGTACTTCTAGTATCTTCTTGTAAAGCTTTTACATGAAACCAATTTTTTCTTTTATTATAGTCACCTTGTTTTTACCATAGTAATTTATTTATTTTTTATATTATGTTTATTTAACAATCAATCTTGCCTCAAACATTTGCCACACATAACTTCTTCATCAGCAACCCCTTTCTGCATGTCTTCCAACAAAGTTTAAATTTGTGTCAAATCAAGTGATTCATTATATAGTCGCTAAGCAAAACACCAAAACAGAGTTTATAGAAGATACATAGAAAAGTATCGCTAGTAAAAGCCTTTTTATTGCAGAAAAGGTGTTCGGCTTGCTGCCTGCTCCTGCCTTTCGCTTTCTGAGTGAATTAAGTCCCCGTCCTCCGTGACAATGGAATGCATTCTACCCTCTGTGGGTGGGAAGAAGAGAAGGGATTATGGGGGTTTGTTCTAACCAAGCAGGAATCGGATTGAAAGGAAAATTTTCATAATTATATAAAAGTGTAGGAACGTAAGCCTTTAAAAGAAATTAAGATTGGAAGCGAGGGGGGAAAGATGGTCTTTAAAAATAGGTCCCATTCTTTCTGCCAGCCTCTGACATCAGGAGAAAGAGAACTTCTGCCTCTGTGCGGATCCCACTCGGGGCGAGCTGTCGCGGAGCGGGGGGCTGGCAGAGAGAAGGGGTGCTCAAGGGGGGCCTGGAGCCCCGTCTGGTCCTCCCTCTGCCTCGGGCTATGAGGCCTTAGGCAAATCCCTCCACCTTTCTGGACTCAGTTTACAATCCGAAGATTGTGTGTCTGCACCTGAACCCCGGCTCTGCCGCCGGCGAGTTGCGCATCCCCGCAAACCGCCAACCCTTCCTCTGGGCCTCGGTGCTCCTACCCCAAAATCAGGATAATATCACCTTCCCTTGGGGTTATTTCAAGATTAAATGAGGAAATAAATGGACAGATGGTGCCTGACGCAGAGTAATATGCTCATTAAATGGAAGTTCTTTTTATGATGATGATTTGGATAATTATGGATGGCAAAATATTCTACTTGTAGACACTCATTTGGGTGGGTTTCATATGTATCTCACACTGGAGTGAGGTCGATTACAGGTGCTTCCGAATGCGCCGGTGTCCGCCGCATGCGCAGTCCCTCTGAGCCAGGCACACCGCGCATGTCCAGCCTCTCGCACCATCCACTTACACAACACTTTGGTTTGTAAACTGTGTTCAGTCACATTTCCTCATCTGATTTTCAAAACAATTCTGTGAGACAAATACCATGAGCAATGAGAGGACCAAAGCCGTACACGATGTCGCCAATTCAAACTCATTCAGGGGGCGGAGCCAAGTATCTTACTGCGCAGGCTCCAGGCCCCTCATCAGGGGTGCTCTCCACCGTAATAATGACGTCCCTGATGCCAACCCTGATGGAGGGGCCACCAGGGGATCGCCCACAACAGCCCTAACACTACTGACCCAATTTTAGTAACAGTTTATTTTGATCCATTTCGTTTTTTTAAAAACCATATGCCTAAAAAGAATGAGATGTCACAAAATCAATAAGCTACAACTTCAAGACATTTGAAAGTCACTAAATTATATGCAAACCAAAAGGAAAAAGGAAGAGAAAGCTTATTCCAAGCTCCTGATTCAGAACTGAGCTGCTCCCTAAGGTTTGTTTCTGAAACACATTTAGATTAGTCTGATCCTGTTGCCACGAAGGCTCTTCACTCCATAACGAGTCAAAGTGAAGCTTTGATTGTATAATTGCGCATTACATTCAAACCTTCCTATCACTTCACCTGTTATACACTACATCTTTCAACACCAGATTTTCTCACCAGAGGCATCAGCTAAGGCGTCCGAGCCTGGTTCCCCCACAGGCTGGCCTCCCAGAGATGGAGCCGCCTCCAGGAGCGCGCTCCATGGAAAGAGGCTGCAGCTAAGTACTCAAGACAATTAACTCAGGTAGAGCACTGAGCTGGTGCGCTGGGACCAGATGCCCAGGGTCCGCTAACTCGTACAGCTGTTACGCAATGCTGGGCCCTGCTGTGCACCGCCCCCGCTCCCCGCCCCCAGATCATACCAGGGAAGGAAGGGCTGGTACCTTTCAAACCATGAGGCTGAGGTGACAGAACAGGGTGGAGGCCAAGGCCATATCAGTGGAGGGGCATGTGCTTCTCGGAGTATATAGCTTTGAAGTTCCACTGCTGAGGGACCCAGGTGTCTCTTCTGGATTCTCATATCGGACCCTACCACATCCCTGTGAGCTGCCCTGCTGTGCAACGGACCAGCACCTGACATCCGCTATGGTTCTTGTCTCCACCAATTTCCCCTAATGCTGCTCCAGAATGCACACACACCACAGTGAAAGTCCTCCACGCACTCTCCTTGGCTCCTTACATTTACCCCTCACAAGCATTCTAGGGAGCAGCGAGTGAGCACCATTGTTATCACTGTCAGTTTTAGATAAGAAAACTGAAGCACAGAGGGATTCAGTCATTTGGCTCAAGATCACATACTTAATAACTTATTGGAACCGGCCGTCTGACCCCAAAGTCCGAGCCCTTAACCCCTCTCCTCCACCCTCTCAGAATCTCTCCGGTACTCACGTCGGCTTCGGGAGTCCTGCAGGCCTGGTCTTTTATTTGCGGGTGCCACCATTTCTCGACATCCTTTCTGGTCTGCAGCGTGTACTCTCTGGTCCACTGTCCCGTGGCACTGTAAATTCCCCGGGTACATACAGAAACCACTCTCCTTCCCCAGCTGAGGACATCCAGTCCACCACGGAGTGGCCTTTTCAGGAGACAGACCCAGAAACCCATTCTCTGCCAAGGAGAAGCCATCTCCGGAAGGCGGGAGGCCCTGAGGGAGGACAGAAAGCACACCAGTGAGGCGTCCAGGCCCCGATATTTGAGCCTGAAGCCAAGCTAAGATATGCTGGGAGCTCTTCTGAATCCTGGAGGACAGGAAGTGAGGCCTGCCGGACTGACCCTGGGCTGGCCTAAAGGGAAGGGAGGGAGGGGGCTCCGCTGCCTCCCCGCAGTCTGAGGTTGTGGTAGGAGCTGGCCCAGGCAGTGGTCTCCATTGGTACCCACTGGGGCTTTGTATCCTTGGCTACAGTGTTTTCATGACTGATCTTTCAAAACCAAGAAAGAAAGAAAGAACCTGACACTCTAAGCTGATCTTTGATTCTCTCAAAATGTTCTCCATAGCTACTAGGATTTGCCCTGTTTCACAAAGGTACTAGGTCACAAATGATGCCAACAGAGTTCATTACAGGCTTATACACTTCACCCTCACATAACTCGGCACCACAGGGTTGGCATTTTGTGAGTTGGTCTGCCAAGTTCTCGACATAGCAGTTCTCACTGTATTTAACACCTCCTTGCTCCTTTGGGCATGAAATCAGAAGCAGACTAAAACAAACAAAAAACAAAACAAAACACCTCCCTATTCACTGAGCTTGGCTGTTTTCGAGTGGGTAGATATGACTACAGACACACTGGTGAACTGTCTTAAATCAGCTGAATATCAGCAATTCCACATGACCAACCTAATGGACAGATAGTTTGTACAACTAAGGCAGTTGCATTTATTTTTAGGGGTTGGGTTTCTATATAATCAGAACTATCTACAGGATTCATAAATTTTATGGTTCGCTGGCTAAGAGAGCCTTTCTGTACCTCTACAATTTGAAGAATTCCAGTTTGGCGGAGGGCGCAGAGACAGACAGGAGACTGTGTTCCCTAAGAACACACTGGACTCCTCTCAAAGAGAAGCAACAAATTATGAAAATACAAACTGACCTTATCCATAGTCTCACCAGCTTTCGGTGTGAATGCTGGTCAGCCATTGTGTCAAATGAAAGCAGACAGAGCCGATATGAGCAATATGAAGGTCATGTGCTTCCTTAAAATTCTTGTCCTATCTCTGCAACTTCCTTATATTATGAAGCAAATCACAACAAACAACTCGTAACAACATTCCCTGTCTAAACAACAAGAACAAGCTTCCTAAAATATTGACATAATACCTGGCTCACTAATAACTTCCAATAACCTTTCCTCAACACAAACCAACAGACCAGAGGATCCTGAAACAGATCTGGGCATTTAAAAGACCTTAGAGTCAATAAAGAAAAAAGAACAGGTAGATTACCAGGGCAATAGATTATTCAATGAATGATGGTAAAATTCATATTAGAGCCCCCCAATCATAAATCATAGTAAATGCCATATAGATTAAAGAATTTTTTAAATACCATAAAACCAGACAAAAATAAACAGGGTGGGGCAAAGGCAGGTTTACAGTTGTTCCTATGAAAAATAATGCAATAATTAATAAATAATAATGCAAGAATAAACTGTGTTTCATGTTCTCACAACTGTAAACACATTTTCCCCACCCTGTAGGTGAGTCCTTAGTAATTCTTTACAGGCTGCAGGATGCTCTGTCCTGAGAATAAAAGCAATGGAAGAAGAATTCAGGAAGGAAAATATTAATAATCTCTCTTAAAATCTAAAACATCTGTATATCAAAAACACCATGAACAAAATGAGAAAGTGAACAATAAGCCAGAGAAAACTGCAAAAACTGCAACAGAAAAAAAGCTTATCATACTCCACAGAGCTCACATATAAGATGAGAAACATTAAAAACATAATTTTTAAAATGAACAAAGAAAAATACAAATGGCTAATAAATATATGAAAAAGATTTATATATTTATTTTATATACAAATATATAAATATATGAAAAAGATTTACAACTAATCAAAAACTGCAAATTAAAACTACAATGAAACATTTGCTTATTGGGTTGGTAAAAGCCTGTTAAACCAAAACAATTGTGCATTTTTATACGGTACTGGTGGGAACGTAAATTGATTCTACCTCTCTAGGGAGCAATATGGAAAAATGTGTCAAGACTCTTAAGAAAAGTTCACACTCTGTGTGCTGGAGCATTGCCAAGACTCAACATGTAGTGTACTCAGGGCTATGATTTATTATAGAACTTCCTGGCACTTGGCCCAGCTCCCCTCCTTTACCTCTCAGGCCCTGCTCTCCACCACTCCACCTCCAAAGCCCTGACCGGCACTGCTGCTTCTAGAGGGCCTTCCTTGCCCATAGCATAAGGGTAAAAGGTGTGGCCTGTGTTTTGTGTTTATGATCAGTTTGGCAGCTTTCTTCCTTCCTCATTTCTGTCTTACCCAGTTCCTTGCCTGGATGTTTGGAATCTTGTCTTGTCCCACCACATTCTGTGATCCTTCCAAAGCATCAAGCCTCACGTGGGGCTTAGGCTAAGTTCTAGAACGGCGGGGGGTTGGTGGCATGTTACCATGGAAGGGAGGGGCCTGAGAACAGGACTCAAACTGACAATCATTTATGGACAGAAAACCTAGGAGAAGACTAGAAGACAAGAAAAAACACATAGGGGAAGCACTTGAAGGCATTTGGGTGCGCTCAGAGGAAAGTGTGTAAGAATGTACCTGGGAAAATGAATCTTAAAGAAACCAAGTTTGCAGACGAAATAAAATAATAATAATAACAACAACAATAATAATACAGTCTGAGCTTTGGCAACCACTAATTCCCTGTATGACCTCAGGGAAGTTGTTTCCTGTCTGGAACCTCAGCTTCTCAAGATGAGCGGTAAACACAAATGACCTCTGAGGAGGACCTTCGAGCCCTAACATGCTGTGGCAATGACCTGTGGGCCAGAGATGCACTGGTTGTCTTTTAACTGAGTCCAAACTCCCGACCCAAGAAGCAAAGATCCAGGGACCAACTGGGGTAGGGGGGCAGTGGGGGAGGAACTTGCATACAAACTTACATGCGTTTTTAAGGGAAAGGGTCCAGAGCTATCAACGGGATCTGGGGCTCAAAGGGTCTGAAGACTCAAATCTCGGAGACTTTTCCAGTTCGGGAAATGCACAGGGGCGAGACCACCTAACCCAGTGAGCGCCTGCCCTTCCTGCTCCCAGCAAGTCGGAACCTCCGGATCCGGGGAAGAGGAGATCGGGCCTCGTCTCTCACCCCGCTGAGCCCCGGCGAGGGGTTTACCTGCTCACAGGCTCTGGCCTGCGGCTCCTTAAATGCCTCGGTTCCCACCTTAGGTGAACACGGCTCAGCTTGTCTCCATGGGCGCCGCCATGTTGGCACAACAACAACTTTATTGATAGCAGCCACTACTGACACACACAGACGGGGCGGAGCTCCGCCTAATCTCCGACTTCCCACCGCTGATGGGGCGGGGTTGTTTCCCCGTCCTCTCCAGGCTCCGCCCCCAGGGCGCGGGGATCACCCCACCACCCCAAGCCCTGCACTTTGACCTAGTAGTACCCCACGGCTTGCTTCCCCAAAACTCTGGACGCCTGGGGTGTCGAATTATTAACAATTGCAGCAAACGTGTGAGAGCCCTCAGTTTTGTGGCCTGGGAATAAACTAAGCGGCGGGTGGTATAAAGAGCGCTGGAGGAGTCCTGCGGTCAGGTTCAAATCCCAGCTGCAGTCCCCTACTGGGCTTGATCGGTCTCTCAATTTCTTGATACTTTCCGGGACACGTGTTGGTTAAAGTATCTTTTTCCGCCACATTCCGTGATCTTCTAGCCCTGGGAGGGGAATTTCCTGGCCTTGATTGGAGGTAAAGTGTACTTCCTCACCTGGTTTGAGGGCTGGGAGCCGAGAAAGTCTGATACCTAAGCGCCTGCTTTCCTAGAGGACTTTGTTTCCCACCCCGAAACCTTCCCCACTATGGAAAGTGTTCCTTTCTATAGATAAATCAATGAATTGATGAACGCATTACAAAGGACCAGTGGCGTTAACATATAATTTTCAAAAAGGCAAAACCTGTTTAACAGAGATTTTGAAGAACGCACACATGTGGCCAATCAGGAATACTGAAACGAATTTGCTAATTGTACAAAGGGGTTGATATCCTATAGGACAAGCAAAAGTAATGTTTGGAAGCCATCTTTTTCTACAGGGCTGAAATCAATTGTACCTCTATGAGACAAAATTCATCCCATTGCTATTCATATTCCGCATCTACTCTCACAGAGCTGAATGAAAGACAAGCAACGGTGTGCACCCCTCTAGCGCCAGGTGGTCCCAGGACAGCACAGCACCAGAAACACACAGTCATCTTTCGCCAATTTCCAAAGCTGGAACGATGTCCTGACATTTCAGAATCCAAATGCTTTGTTATTCGGAGTGCGGTCTCCAGACTAGTATCAGTCTTACCTGGCAACTGGCTAGAAACGTTGAATCTCAGGCGCCACCCCAAACCTGCCAAATCAGACGCCGTATTTTAGCAAAATCCCCCCAGATGGGGGAGGTGGATTCTTAGGCACATGGAAGTTTGAGACTCACTGTCTTAGAGTGTGAGAATTAGAAAGGATTTTGAGAACCCCTAGTCCAGCCTGCTCATTTTACAGATGAATGAATGGAGGCCCTACAGGGCTGGCTGTCTAGCTCAAGGTCACAGCAAGTTAGTAAAAGATTTGGCATTCAAAACAGGGTCTGTAGCCTACTACAATAGTGCCCTTCCAGAACCGCAGAACGGAACATCATCAGGAGCTTCTGAAACTCCCAGACCAATACCCTCACTGCAAAGGTGAGGATGCTGAGGCCCAGAGATTGGATACAGCTTGCCTAAGGTCACACAGACGCTTAATTTAAAACGATACCATGGGACTCTCAAGTGAAGAGACCACTCTTCAAGTAATTTAACCTTCAGATATGTCCCGCTGTGTCCATGGATACTCCTTCTCTAATCTCCCCAAAATACTAAATTCTAGGTAGCCTCTGCCTTTACTTTGGCTCTAAATCTCTTTCCTCTTATGAATTAAAACACTGCCATTTCTAGGAGATGATTTCAAATGGGATTTTTTTTTAAAGTCACTTGCTTTACTGGAAAGTTGCTATTTTTACATCAAAGACAGCAACATGAATGTAAATCTCTTTCACTCTTAAAGAGCTGACTGCAGAGCTACATTATTAAATGAAAAAGACAAATTGTTGGGCTGTGCAGGAAGTTATCTCATTTTTTATTTTTAAAAGGAAAGGAAATAAGAGAAAGACATGTGTTGTTATGTGCATAAAAAGTAATCTAGAAAAATATGTCCCAAACTATTTCCTGTGATGATCTCTAGGGACCGGAGGGTTCCGTGGACCTTTCTTCTCTTTTCAATATGTTTCTGTGTCCCTTTTGCTATTAGCCTGTGTGGTAGGCTGAATAAGGGCCCTGAGGTATCCTAGGCTCAAAACCAAGGCACTCGGGAATGTCGCCTTATATGGCAAAAGAGGCTTTGCAAATGTGATTAAGTGAAGAATCTTGATAGAAGACTATCCTGGCAGGCCCTAAATGCAGTCCCGAGTGTCCTGATAAAAGAGAAAGGCACAGGAAGATGTGAGACAGAAGAGACAGTGCGTGACCATTGTAACCAACATCACAGGTAATTTTTCTTTTTAACAGGTCTTGCTGACCTGAAAGTTAAGCCTGGCGTTGATGGGCCAAAATACCTGCGATGATCCCCGCACATGCCCAAGGGTCAGTAACAAAGAAAAGGAGAGCAGATGCCCTTCTGAAAGTTGCCACAAAGCAGTTTTGGCCTTGAGTGGCCTGGAGTAAAGTCAAGATTTTCCTAGGAGCTTGATATTAAAAGGTTCCCATTTGGGGCGCCCCTTCCAGTGTACAAGTCTTCTGAAAGTAACCTCTATTGTTGACCTTAAACTTATGGGTCTCCCTCCCCAGATGACTTGCAGTTCTTGAGTGCACTTAGGAAAAAAAAAACCGGTTTTGGAGTGACAGATGCCACAATTCTACTTGGATGCAGAGACAGACCTTGGAATTATGCTTTTAACCTGTTCATTACCGGAAAGAAAAAAATCCTTCCCATCGTTGTCCATCTGCTTAGGCCTTGTGATTGCTCCTAGAAAAAAGGTAATCCTGTCTGAAGAAATGCTGAACGTGGTAAGCAGTTTTGAGTTGCATCTGACCTGAAGATAGACAGAATTGGCTATTGGAGTCTAAGGGTGGAATCTCAGTGACATATACTTACTTGCGAATGTGTGAAATGTATCTTCGGGTGATATCTGCAATTTTAACACATAGATGTTAATAAGATTCTGTAGTTCCTACATCTCTGCTGTGAACTTGGCATTTCAACATACTACCTATTGACTCTCTCATATTCTTGTAGAGTTAATTAGCCCTTGAATGTAAGTGCATGTGTCTTCTCTTCCCAAGTAGACAATAAATTATTTAATTCAATAATTATGCTCTTCTGGTCCTTGATGAGCATATAACTATAGTTTCATATACAGGAGACAGAAAATCGTGTGTTACTCCCAAAGATCTAGTTTAGTTTAATGTTTTCTAGCCTAAATTATACAGCAGACAGAGAGCGTTGGCCTCGGTCTCCTACCCCCCTCAATCTGAGAGCTGCAGGGAGGGCCCAAGTATGGATAGAAGTTAACAAGCACCAGGCACAGGGAGGGGCTTAGGAACTGGTGGATTCATAGACATGATAACAAAGTCACTGCCCCTCCATGTCCTGCAGCGGCTAGGATTTGTCAGCAGGTTCAGCTTCACCTGACAGTGGCTTCCCAGTGGCTGATGACAAACACCGCCAACGTAGAGAGGATGGTGGGAAACAGGGGCACTTTTCCTGCTGGTCACCTTACAGAAGTCAGGACCCATGTCTGAGGAGCACTGGAGTCCCTTCTTTCTTGTCTCCTCTCTCCCCTCCCTCTACCGGGGTCCCCGCAGACTTTATGGCCCTTCAGGCCCCTCCCCCTCCCCACAGAGGTTCTGGATCTATAAGACAAGCCAGCCTGTCTCTTCCTAGTATTGTCTGCCTTTCACAGCAGACCTTCCCATTGGATGGTGACCAGTCACCTTCTCACCCAGGTAGAGGAGGAGAAGGAGCCGGAAATCCTAGCTGGCAAAACTTACAATAACAACAACAAAATCCCCATCACCATCACTCTTACCAACATCACCACCAAGATTCTCTACCTGAAGCCCAGCAGGGAGGGAGGGAGGGAGGGAAGAAGGGAGCGGGGAGAGAGACGGAAGCAAGAAAAGGTTGCTGAGCTGGGTTCAAGTGCTCGACCACAGGAGGAGGAGGAGGAAGACAAGAAAGAGGAGGAGGAGAAGGAAGAGACAGAAAAGAAGTAGAAATGAGAAGAACGTAGAACAGAAAGAGGGTGAGGCAGGAATGAGACAAGAGCCCTGGCCCTAGACCCAGGCTGGGGAAAGGCCATTCTAGAGTCCACAGGGGTTGAAAACAGAAGGGGACCACCGCACGGCGTGTTTATCAGTCCATCGGGCTGTCCCCAGAAAGAGGAGAAAGAGCACAGCCCTCCGTCACAGAAGCCTGGTTAGTGGCCATGCTGGGCGGCAGCGGTCAAGCTACTCCACCTCCCTAACCCTCGGGCTCCTCACCTGGACAGGGCACAGGGGTGGTGCCGAGCTCACAGATTCCTCGTAAGGATGAGGCAGTTGGCACAATGCCTGGCGCAATGTAAACACAGTTCTTAGTGTTGGGTGTGGGGCTGCTCCTTCCAAGAGGTGGGGGAGGGTGCAAGGAAACCTACCTAGCACGCAAACCCTGTGAAGGAGGCAGCTTCCGAGTGCTGAGGCATTGCAGAGAGGTATGTATTCAGGACCTGTCCGCTGGTTCTGCCTCCACATCATCTATATGGTGTGGGACAGGGACATTGTCAAGGTCAGGTAACCCTCTGCTTCTCAAACATGTACATGCACATGAGTCGCCCAGGGGTCAAAGGTCTGGGAGGACCTGAGATTCTGCTTTTCTAACAGGCTCCCGGGAGAGGCTGATGCCGCCAGCCCCGGGACCACGCTGCGAGTCGCAAAGAGCTGACTGGCAGCTCTGGTGCCACAGAGCCCACTGCGACGTGAAAGCCATGCAGAAATAAAGGCAAGACACGCGACCTCAAAGTCAAGGCCCATCCGAGTGAGTGGGAAGCTTGAATAAGAAAACTTTAATATGAAGGGAGGGAAGGAGGCAGGGAGAGAAAAGAAATGAAGTGAATTACTTCTGAGGCCACAGAGTAAAAGTCAATAAGAGTTAGAATTTTGCCAAATAGAGATTGGTCCTACTGAACTTACTTGAATAAATATATTTAAGTCATTTGCAATTAG